TTCAGGATAGTCCTGGGACACCGAAGTCCGGGGCTGCGTTGAAACTAGGGTGTCCAGGACTAGTGGGAACCGCCGGTCACCAGGCTGTACCTGCTTCCTGGGTGACCACCACAATTTGGCACAGACTGGGGGCTTAAGTGACAGTTTTGTATCCTCTGTCATTGAGGTGTCTCGAGGCCACGCTCCCTCCCAGGGAGCCAGGGAGGGTCCTCCCTGCCTCTGTGGTTCCTGGTACCCCAGGGCTTCCCGGCTCATGGCCCGTCACTCTGCCTCGGTGTCCTCCCTGTCCACCCCATTCTCTGTTAGGGACACTGGCTGCAGTCCGAGGGCTTTACCCCGGCCCTCAGGGGCATTTCATCTCTAGATCTTTAACTCGATCACATCTGCAAAGACCCTACTTCAAAATCGGGTCCTCTTCACAGGCCCTGGGCTTGAACCCTGGACGCGGCTGTGCTGGGGTTGCCAGGCAGTCCACGGGGAGGGGCCTGCAGCCTGCACGGGCTCCGCCCCTGCACCTGCTCTGGCCACAGGCACCACACGCCTGTGGGTCCTCGCTCATGTCTGAGAAGCAAACCCGGGGATGCGGGCAGAGGCGTGTGCAGGTGTGCGTCCTCACGTGGCTCCGACTCCACGCACCTGCACATGGGAACAGGCGGGGAAGGGAGAGCGCCGAGAAGATGGGGTGCTGGGCAGGAGACCGAGACAGCCCCTCCCACCCTGAAGCCTTTTCAAACCACCCTTGAGGCCTCTAGTCTCTACACGGGCTGTGCACCGTAGAAATGACCGACACACTCTCGGTGGCAGCCCCCTGCCCAGCCGCGGTCGCACTGGGAAGCCGGTTTTGATGCGTGAGAAGTCAGGCTGAGGTCTGTGCAGAGCCAGGTCCGCGACAGCAGGAGGAGCCTGCTGCAGGCCATGCCACGCGGTCAAGGCAGTGAGCTGGCAGCTGGGCTCTTCACTCACCAGCCAAGCCCTTCATGGATCAGCTGAGGAAATCGAGTCCCAGTGAAAGAAAGTGGCCAGGCCAAGGTCACCAGGCGCTGCCTGAGGGCACCTCCCTCGGGTCTGAAGCCCTGGCCCCCTCAGGACAGTGGTTAGCAGGTCTGCCTGCAACTCCCAGCTGCCTGGAGTCCTGGGGCCATGGTCGCGGTGCATCCTTGCCGAGAGGGTCATGGTGCACCTTTGCTGAGAGGTCGCCCCTCAACGCTGCTCCAGGCAGTGCACGGGCTCCTCTGTGGACAGCAGGACCCGTCCCGACCCCGAGAGCCCAGTGCAGAGGGCCGGTAGGTAGGTGGTGGCCATGAGCGGGCTTTCTCTGCACCGGCGTGGCAGATGCGTCTTAACCGTCCAGCCTTCGGGCTTGTCGTGGGCTGCAGGAACCCCGGCTACTCCATGTGGGTGCTCCAAAGCACATGCTGTGCGGCTGTGGGCGTGTCTGCAGGGAGATGCGATGGGGCAGCGTGCCCGGCCCCACAGAGCGGGCGGGATGCGGCCTTCTGCATGCTAATGTGGGCTGCTGGGACTGGGCATGGCCGCCTTTGTTCCGGGAGAAGCGGCTGACGGAGCTGGGGGTTCCCACTGTGAAGTGCAAGCGGTTGGGAGCTGCAGGAGGAGGGGAGGGAGGGCAGAGATGGGTCCCCACCCACCGGACAGGGGCATCGTCTGTGCATAACAGGTCTCACGGCGCCCGTGGTGTCTAAACTGACCTGATTTCCAGGCAGCTGGGACAGCCGGCACCGCGGGCGGCACCTCGGGGACCACGGCTCCTTTCCCCACTGGATGCCACTGTTTGATCAAATTTTATCGCGGTGACAACCAGCGGAAGCTTGTAAACCTGCAGCACAAAATGATTTACGATCCTCGATTAAAACCCCCTTCCTTCCTGCGCATTTTGAAGAGCCTGGTTGCATGGAAACCCACTGCGAGGCTCTCCAGCTCCTGCCGGGAAGATGGCATCTCTGGCTCCCAGAGGCACAGGCAGTCCAGGAGAGGCACCATGCGGGTGGGAAGGGATGGCCCCCAGCCCTGCAGGAGCTGGGAGGTGGGAAAGGTGGGAGATCCACCCGGCCCTGCGGGAGCTGAGGTGGGGAGGGCGGGAGGTCCACCCGGCCCTGCGGGAGCTGAGGTGGGGAGGGCGGGAGGTCCACACGGCCCTGCGGGAGCTGAGGTGGGGAGGGCGGGAGGTCCACACGACCTGGCAGGTGGGGGTGGGCAGTCCTGGTACAGACCTGGAGCTGGGAGCTGGGGAAGAGCTGGCCTGCACTTAACCATGGCCCTCTCCCCCGGGGAAGCCCCTTAGCTCCTTCCACCAGGGGACAGCAGTCTGACCTTTGCGATAGGGTTTGCAATGCTTGTTTTCTTGTTGCCTTTTTACAGGTCCCACGGAGCACGTCTGGGGAGGAGGCAACGTGGTGAATAAAGAAGGAAGGAGCCAGGCCCGGACTGTGCAGCGTCAGCTACAGAGCACGGTGCAGGGCGCAGGGCCGTGGCAGCCCTGCACGGCAGCCAC